TTGCACGTTTTCCAGAAATAGCATGCACTTTACACTGTAATATCTGAAACTTCCCCTTCTCTCATAAAAGTTACTTGGATTTACAAAAGTGCTTCTGCTGCGTGAATTCTTTCCGTGTTGGGAAGAACTGAGGTCAACCATCCCAGCTACCTAGCAATCAGACCTCGTCTAACTTCCGTGAGGAGGAGGGGGCGAATCACTAACACATTTCTATGAGACAGAGGTCAGACAAGCCTCCCTTCTGAAAACGTTTCACCAACTCTGACATCTAGTGTCCTTCCCCTGGCGTCCTCTACTTCTCTGCTGGAGGTGAGAGTTGGTTAAAGTGGCTACACAGAACCATATTCACAGACAATATTCAGAATGCTGAGGTTTATTAGGGAAGTAGCAGGACACTGTTCTTTCATCAGGCAGCTCCTCTCAGTGCTACCCAAAGGTATACCTCTTCCCGGCCCTGGGCCTCTATGTCGCATAGGCCCTTGGCCGCTGTCCTGAATGGTTCCTAACTTTTAAGAGCTCTGCCACTATGTAGTCACCAGAGGTACCCGCTCTGCCCGTAATCCTCAGTCCAAAGGCACTCAACTGGAGCTCCGAGGGCCAGCAAACCTGGCTCTTCTGATTAGTGCCTAGAAGGTACCCTATTCCACCTGTGAGCCTCCTGGCCAAAGGCACTCCCCTTTCTCACTCCGCGGACCATGGCAATGGCCTCTGCTTGCTGCTTCCTCTGCTTCTTGCCAACTCCCACCACCTCAGGTATCACAGCAGTCTCCTGCATCACGGAGGTTCAACACAAGGATCTCAGAATGCATTCCACTCCTCACTCTTCTTTCCTGAGGGTAGTGAGATCCCTCCCTCTGCTTATGGGATGGCAAAAACCGACCAATCCTCACATAAGGGACCCACATATACCTTATTTGCATGTTCCTAACGCACAGAGGTGACAAGTATCTTATTTACATTATTAGTAAGCTAGCTAACCCCCTTGGTGGGCCACAAGGGGCCCATATTTGCATAGTCCCAACCAGTCACTTTGTAGGAGTTATAAAGATAATGACAAGGAGGGTCATGTTAAGTAATTCAACACAGCACATCATGTTGTAAGCAATGTGCTTGGCTCCCAGCAGCAGAATTCAAACACATCGATTCTTCTTCAGTTTGTCTTATTTACTGTCTAGGTTCCCGTGCATGCATGTGAGGCGATTGAAAATACCGTGGCTTGAATCACCTATATCTTAGTCTTCAAAGTAATACCTTTGCTTTTGACCATCTTGACGAAGTCTTTTTGCAGCTGGTTTTTGCAGTGAAAAGTGTCATTTAATTTCCTGACTGCTACAGCCGTGGACATCGATTGTGGGCTCGACGAAAAGAAAATCCGTGCCAGCTTCAATCCTCTTTCCATATCATAATGTTCTTTACTGGTTCCGTTGTAAGGATTCTTATTTTCCTTAGGTTTGACGATACTGTCGATACGGAAAGCTTTAGTCTTTGATTTGTCTCAGGAAGGGTTTTGAGTCCCATTTGCTCTTGGTATTAGCTGAAATGGACTGGTATTGACCATTTTCAGCAGGATAATCATGTAGTCTACTGGGCTGGACATGATGAGCTCAAGAGGAGTGATGTCGCAGTCGTCATTTCAAAGACCACTGCACGGTCCATCTTGAATTAGAATGCTGTCCGTGATAGCACCGTTGCATACATATATAGCACAGTATGCGTAGTACATATGTACACATAGTATACATCCTATAAGGAACACAGACTACTACAAATATTGTTGCAATTTACCTACCAATCACTAATGTGAAAGATAAAAAATTATAGATTGTTACCAACTTCTGCAATCTAAAATTGATCAAGCATGCAATCAAGATGCATTCAAATGTACTGGCAAAGGGAGTGAGACAGTTGGAAGCATAAAGGATCAGTAGCTGGAGACAATGTCATTGGTGGCAGAAACGACTGCACAGATCACAGGATAGATTTTGTTACGATCAATCACTTCTTCAATGCAGATATCATTTTTCAACACCTTCAACAGCAACGATCATTGTGGACCTCACCAGAGAAAGCACACAGGAATCCAACGAACTGAAGAATATCATTAATATTACATGGAGGCAAACGTTGAAGGTGATTCAAACACGAGTGGCAGTAGTAGGAGAGAGGGCTGCCACATAAGCAAGCAGGATTCCAAAGAAGACTTGGCAAGAGGACTATCTATCATTGCTAACTAATGTCTCAGAAATGTTGGCTTAAGGCAGAGAATACCGGAAAGATGCCCACCTGCTTTATTGACTAGACAGAGGCATTCGACTCTCTGGGTGATAACAAACTATGGATATCATTGTGAAAAATAGAAATTCCAGATTTCTATTTGAAATTCTACTGCTCATGCAGAACCCAAACATAAACTAAGAGGAAGTTGTTTGAATAGAATGGGGTTGCTACATGGCTTAAAATGAGGACTAGTTGTGTGTCAGAACTGTCCTGTCACCATGCCTATCCTTTTACTATGCTTATTCACTTTGTATGCTGAGCAAATAATCCAAGCTGGGCTTCATGAAGAAGATGGCAGCGTCCGGATAGGAAGAAGGCTTATTACCAGCCTGCAATATGTTGAAGACTCAACGTCACGATTCCTAGTATCACTATATTCACACTACGGTTTACCTCATGGAGGCTAAACTCATCTCCATAGTCTAGTCTGAACTAACGTGTCCATTTTCTCTCTCATTGCTTGGCCTTCTCAGCAAAGGGGTGGCGACCAGTCCCTGCTCCCTGGTGCTCTCCGACAGTTCTCTTGCACAGGCTTCGCGCACCCAGAATGCCCCATGGCAGCTTCACGGCCGGATCCAGTGCACACCTCTATGTTACCATAGCCAGAGAAAGCAGCCTTTGTGCACTCATTTTGCTATAATTAAAGATTGGCTAGACTAACTAAACATGGTAACTCGCAGAGAAACACAAATCTGCGGCTCTATCTGCGGCATGTTGGTGTATAGCCCAGGAAGGAGATGTGCAGTCGCATCATTAGGTTGGTATGGACTGCCGTGGGTGACGCTGTTGGAAGGGGTGACACCAGAAGGACTGCCTACAAAATTTTGGTGCATTTTTTCGGCAGAAACTTATTACTCTTTATAAAAATATTCCTGTACTTTACTAGAGGCACAAAAATATATTTCATAAATTTAGCTTACGATGTTCATAAAATTACCTTAATATATAAGGTAAAACTGAATGGTAATTTACTTCTTTATTTTTACATTGTTAGAGTGATGCTTCCAATTACGTGGTTCGTCTGCATGCACTAATTATATGGTATGGTTCTCATTGTTGTTGCTACCAGTGTTTTCAGTGTTGCTGACTATGTCATATTCTGGGGTTTTAGATATAATAGTGTGGTCATTAGAACTTGTCAGCATCACTCGTATGTCAGTTTGTCATACTGTGGTGGTTTGCATATTACTGTGATGCTGGGAGATATGCCACCAATATTTCAAATATCAGCAAGGTCTCCCATGACAGCCAGAATGTGTCAGAGCTTCCAATGAAGACAGGTCAGAAGAAGCTGGTGGTGCACTGGCCAGGAACAATCTTACGAATAAAAGTGGAACTGTCTGATATCGTACTGCAAAACGAGTTCCTCGGGTTGGAAGGCATTCAAAATACTACTGGAGCAGAGCTGCCACCGCAAAGTAGAGTCCATCTTAAGTAGACAGATAAAGCTTTGGGGCCTTCATTGGCTGATGGTGCATGAATCCAAAGAAGAAGAAGAAATAACTGTAAACATTAGTTCATAATTGGAATGTGGAATATGTGAGGTATGAGTCTAGGAAAATTGGAAGTAGTTAAAAATGAAATGGACAGCTAAAGCTATACCTGATATCTTAGTGAGCTGAATGGACTAGGATTTTGGATTGAGTTCACTGGCCAGCAACAGGTTTGGCTCATTAATACCATCTCTGAAATAATACACTAAGGAATTTATGATGAGTTATTATATATGCATGATTATAACTGATAATAAGCATTCCTATATAAGGATTCTATATGGTCTGGTTAGGGAGGTCCATGCTGGGTGAGTGTGGAAGGGGTGACGCCATAAGTTACCCCACTGGGCGACAGAAACCCTAGTCAACCCAATGGGTCTGGGCATCAGAATTGGGTCAAGAAGGCTTGTTCAACTATCCCAGTCACCTCCTTGAGAATAACTGTCATGCTGAGCCACTGCTAGGAATGGGTCTTGCCCCTCACTTTTGCTACAGCAAAAAAAAGACCACAAAACATTGGTTCCTTGGTCTGGGAACAGGAGCCTTGGTGGTGTAGTGGTTACACACTGGCCTGTGATCCAGAAGGTTGGCAGTTGGAAGCCAGCCGCTGCTCTGAGGGAGAAAGGGCTTTTGACTGCTATGAAGAGTTTCAGTCTCAGAAAGGACCCTTACCTATAGGTTGCTATGAGTCGGCATTGACTCGATGGCACTGAGGAAGGAATTTTAAAAGATCAAAAAACAGTTTCAGTAAAGTTGAGCCTGGGTCATGTGAGAGGCCTACACTTTACTCCTGAGATCTATGGTTGACTCATGTGCCTGTCTAATGATCAAGAACAAACTTAAACCTTGGTGGGTTTGAGAATTCCTAGTTTGAGAAGTTGTTCAAAGAATACAACAATAAAATAGATAGTGAAAAGGTAAGGGCTTGAGGTAAGCATTCAAAAATGGTAGCCCGATATATAAATTGTATATTTTAGGCACCCGTGTAACCCTGACTCACAGTGAAGCAGGCAAAAGTGGTGGAGCAGGCAGGCTAGTTCTTTATATGGTTGTCTCCGACTTGCCTGCCGAATGCCAGAACCTCCTGAAATGTTATGCAGAATTCCATGCTCACGTATATTTTCCTGGGAAATCGGCTCATAGTTCGCATCATGCTCTGAAATAAGTTCATGACCCCAAACAGGCAAGAACCAAAAGGTGACTGATGGTCAGAGAGAATGAAGAGATTACCAGTCCAGGTTCCGGTCTGTCCCCCTCATCACAGATTGGACGTTAGGCCAGGCGTCTTGTCCCTGCACTCTGCTCCTCGGACTCCGCACGGCCGCGGGCATCCCTCAGTTTACCTTCAGAAACCCCGCGCTTGGGGCGGAAGCTCTCGGGATCTCAGAAGAAGGGGGTGGGGCGCCGCACGCCCGGCGGATCCGGGGGCGTGGTTACGGGGCGTGGCCGGCGCGGGGCGGGAAGGGGAGCGCGCCGGCCTATAGGGTACCGGCGTGTGGGGGCGGTGCTAACGGGGGGCGGGCCTTGCCGCCAGCCTTTGGCTCCTGCGGGAGCTCTGCGGAAGCCGAGCCGGAGTGGGGAGCGGAGGAGGGCGTTTTCCTGGTGGCGCTGCAGACGCTGAGCGGTGAGTGTCGCCCGCAGCCTTTACTCGGAGGCCGGTCACCTGGGCCCGCGCCCTCCGTCCTCCCCGCCTCGGCCCAGCCCC